TGAGTCCTGCTATACTGCGGATGGGGGCGCGCTCCGGCTTTTCTGCTTCTCTGGTTTTGTGGCTCGTTCTGTGGTTTGAGGGGAAAGAAAAAAGAAAGAAGGAGTGCCCGTGAACTGAGAGATTGACTTATTAGCCGGGAGACAGAGGTTTTGGATAGAGAAAGCTGAGGCGGTCGGTATGGCGACGCGGGAAGCGTACGGAAAAGGAGTGAGTTTTGGATGAAGTTGATGGCAAGGAGTGTATGTGCAGCGTCCTGACGCGGGTGAGGACCGCAGTGGCTTTTTTCTGCGTTGTCTCATTACGTGTCGTGCCAAAGCCTAAGAGATGAAACGGTCACTCAATTAAGCTCTTAGGGTTTAAATGAGATGCGTGGCAGTGTATGTAGGACTAGTGCTGAAGGCCGGCCGATGGGCGTGAGATGCGAGGGGTAATTGTGCAACATTCTCAAGCCTTGGTGTCCCAGTTGACCGGATATTAGGGTAAGAGGTCGGCCCCACCCTGCATATTGGACAGGTTAGTTCTGTAATGAGGTGGGCGCGTGTGGTCAGAGGCGCGAGTGGTGTAACGAGGGAAGAAACAGGGTTGGTGCCCGTGCGAATACTGTGAGAAGAGTCCGCGCGTTCAGAATGCGATGAGGTAAGGTAACATACAGAGTGGATCCAGTTTGACACCGACAGACTAAAGCTCGTGGCCGGGGTGCCTACGTGCGGAGGGGTTTTGATGCAAAACAACCGGGGGTATCATTTGCCATTTAACAGTCTTCTAATCAGAAGGTAGCGCGCTCGCGTCGGTTGCGCTTAGCCTCATTAAAGAACGCTGGCGAGAATTTCGTTGAGATATGCAAATGTTGTTGGTGTGGCTAGAAGTTTGTGCTGCGAGGCACAATAGGGGCCGCGCTTCGCGATCCTCACTGTAAAGTCCGATTCTCAGTGGACGGTGCACTGTGGTTCGAGTGCTGTCTGGAGGATCGAGTCAGCTTGTACACGGTGATACTGGAGCAGGAATGTGATTCCAGGACCGGTATTTGTGAGGGTCACAGGAAGGGCGGCCTAGCTGCTATGGCCGCCCTATAATCAGCATGGTCAACTGAGCACAGAGAGGAACTTTCCTGCTTTCAGCAGGAGCGGATGACAGGTGTGAAACATCACGTTTCAGTGTCAAAGCTCTGCAATGAGCCAAGAGTTCAAAATCACAAACAGCACACTGTAGAGACAGGAACATACACTGGTTTCTGACTGGAGGGGGACTTTAAAGAGTATTTTAGCAACTCATTCTTAGCCTGTGTATACCGGATTATGTTGGGACAGTCCTGTCCCTCGTCCCCCTCCTTGCCATCATTCGTCAGTGACTATTGGACAAAAAGGAGGTTGTTTTCTTCAGATGTACAGAGATGAAGGGCCCATGTTCAGGGTCTCTGTGAGAGTATGAGCTCATCTAATGCTCATGTTCATGGGTCCCAGGCGGCAGTGAAATAAATATTTGAGATTTCCAGAGGGATATGAGCATCAGTGATCCTCATAAGGTCACACAGTTTATGTCTGTTTGTGTCTGTTGGTCCGCACTCAGCACTGTTCAGCTTTCCTTTTCTGTGCAGTTGTTTGTGTCCTCAAGCATGGACAGTGTGCTTATTTATGCATAATATTTTAAGAGTAAACAGCCTGCTGCATCTGTGTGCATGTCAGTGTGTGTGCAGCCTTATCTTTAAAGAGGTTACAGCGTGGATCAGCCAGACACTGAGTGTCTAGACACCGGCCTTGCCCACCTCTTCTATTTGTCTTCACTGTGTTGACCAAAAAGACGGATGAGATCACACAGCAAGTATGCACTATATCAGGGGTGGCCAAACTTTTTCCCTTAGAGGGCCAAACCTGACAATTAATGCTGGGCCACGGGCCAAAAGCAAACACCTATTATACTGGTACTTGGATCCCAAGTTCCCCTGCACAAAGTGTCACTCATGTTCCGATTATGACAAATAATTAATTCAATAGGGAATAAATAAATATTGTACTTTTTTTTTCACTAGAAACATTTGGTGAACCAAATTGAACCTTATGGCTGGCCCACTGGCCCCACTTTGAGCATCCCTGCACTATATGAACACAAATGATAAGGGTAATGGTGGACAGGTTAACTTTATTTTTCCTAATTTTCACTGACAGTGCCTTGACATTTCTCCTCAGGTCTTCTTCAGCACAGTAGAGACACTTTCTTTTTTTGTGTTTGTCTCATAATATGGAGAGTCAGAGTACAGAAAGGAAGGGAAGAGGGGGTTGAGGTGACAAACATTATCATCCAGACGTCTAACACTTTAACACTCATCTCCTTTACAACAGAAAGCCTCTGGAAACATATTGTAATAAAATAATTAAAGGGGCACTCATGCAATTTTACACTTGAGGCTCAGTTTATTAGTTATGAGGGGTACTATCCATCCTGTGATAATACTTCCATAATTAATCATCAGTCATGCCACTTCTATAAGTTCTTTCTGAACACACAGAGAAAAGAACCCTGATTATGTCATCAGAGTTATATTGAGTTAAGATGCTTTTAAACAGATGCTGCCACAATGTCTGTGTTGTGTTGCTGTGCTGTATTGACTGAGTGGCAACCGTGCACAACCTCACCCACACAGCTCCCTGCTACTTCCCATCCTATATCCTGTACATGCAGGCTGCTTAGGCCACCTCGTATGATCTCATCACGCAGCTGTGTGTGTGTTCACTGATGACAAAGATGTGAAACTTACATATTTAAGTAAGTTAAATCAGCCCCTGTGCCGGCTCCCTCACTGCAGTTTATGTGGTTGCCATGGTCACACAGCAAGTGACAAGTTGAAAGAGCTGTGCATGTTCCTGTTGCTGCCGCCAACTTCACTGTCTAATCGGTGGGGTACCCCAGTACCTCGAAAAACGGCACAGAAGTGCCCTCTTGAATGCCCTTCCTATGGAGAAGCTTTACTCCTGCTATAGACTAAAAGTCAGGATATCACAACTTAGCCCCTCAATTTTGTGAAAATATAATACTTAATCCCTGGGGTACTCCTTTAACATTCCAAATTATTATTAAATTATTATTAAATTCGCAAATTTCAACAACAACACACACAAGTTCATGCGTATGGATTTGTTCTCTCTGTGAGCACCAGGACAGCAGTGGTTGTAAAGACAGAGGGAGAGATGTGACTCTGCAGCTTTTCTGACTAAATAAGGAGCTCAGTGCCAGGAGCCACAGTGTGGCCAGGAGCCATCAAGAATGTGTATGTGTGTGTGTGTTTGTGTGTGTCTGGTCAAAGGAGAATCTGAAGAATGTCCCTCACCCCCTTAACAACCCTGGAGCCCCCCGGCCTTAATAACACCCCAATAAAAGAGCCCTATTAATGTAACACACACACAAACACACAATCAGGGACCAGCATGCTCTTACATTCATGGCCCATTTAAAACAATGGAACAATAGGTTTAGATAGTTTAGCTCGGGTCCCAGTAGATGCGTAATTTGCTCCATTTCACAATCGCACACAGCATTAAGTTGTCACAGGCTTTTTGTTTACAGGCTTTGGCCATAATTAAAATATTAAACTTATGACGACAGCGGTTTCTGACTGTGGCACAGCAGGAGAGCACAGCAACAGCAGCACAATCTACTGGCAAGGAGAATTGAGGTACATAAGCATTTAAGCAAAACATTTGAATGTTTTGAGGGATCATCCGTTGGTTCAACTCATACTGGACTTGAGAATAAAGTGTTGTCTGGAAAAAAGTGAGAGCTGACAAAACTGCTGAAATATTAACTGCGTAGCGGCCTATTGTTTCAGTGGAATTTGCCAAATAAACAGGAGACCAAACACAGGGCGGGGACAGAAGGACACATTCAAATGTCTCAGGATCTGAAGAACACACTCATGTCTCTGGCTTGTCATTTGGCTCCCTCTAGGGATTATTTATGGTACTACGTTTATTTATTCTTCTGCTCTGTTACTTTTTTCTCTCCTCACTGTTTTGAAAATCCAACTTTTCTCATGTCCTTTTTGCATGGTTGCTTTTATAAATGTAATGACCTCTTCTTGTCTCTAGCTCCCCCAGTCTTCTATATTTTATTTTCTAATTATCAAACAGTGGCTGATGTGCAGATGTTTATATCTGTGTCAGTTTAGAGAAGCTTCACATTGACCATTTAGGTTTATTTTGTTTCACAGTGGAGCATCCTAGTGAGTTAGTGTCATTGACACCAAAGAGGTGTGAACCACTGGTCTAAGTACTCAATTTAACAGCTGTAGTTTTTAGCATATTTCAATGTATAAAATATGATGCTATGGTGTTTAATGTTCCTACAACTGCCTGCACATAAAAACACAACATTAAGTAAAGATATCCAGTAATACAATATACTGTAACATTCTCAAAGGGTGTTAGACCGAGGACCAGGTGGAGAGATTATATCTCCACACTGGCCTGCGAACGCCTCAGGATCCCCCAGTCAAAATTGGCCGATCCTGCTGGACCTGCTACCCCCGCGACCCAACCCAGATAAGCGGATGAAGATGATGATGATGATGATGACTTTTGAAGGGCCGTTTTTAGACAATCAATATTATTACTTTTGGTACTTTAAGTATATTTTCAGTCCCTCTAGGAAGTCACAATCGCAACAATTAATTCAACCAGTCTCTTTGAATTGAAATTTGATCTTGCAATTTGTTTCAGTCACCACAAATATGACCCATCATTGTAGTGTGTTTTATTTTATTTATTTTATTCCCACTGGAATACAATAAAAAAATCGAAACTACATTTGCAATTATCACTTTCTCCAACATGCTTTGCTTTGTTTAGGAATATAGCTGTGAAATCAGGCATTTTAGGCTGCAACATTACCAAAAAAGCCCACAAAATCCTGGAGGGAAATTTATTGACTTACTCCTATCTATTCCTTTCTTTTTTCTTTTTTTTAAATTTATATTGGTTCTTTACTGTGTAACTTATGCCACGAGTATTGCAATTGTTTTTGTCTTGAGTTTTACTTTCTGGGCCATCAGTTGTCAGTAAAGGATTTGAATACTTGCTCCATCACTCTTAAATACACTCAAGCACACAAAGAAGATCCATAACAATATAGGCTTTTTAAAAAACTACTTTCATAAAAGTAGTTATTAGAGGTTTGCAGAGTAGATCTCTGGGTGTAAACCATCAGGGTTTTAATCAAGGTACAGCTAGTAATGTTGCCATTGGATCTCATGTAACGAACAGGTGCATGGAGCATGAACATGAAGAACTTTATAAGTTTAAAAAAAATCATAAACTAAGCCAGTATTAAAAGAAGCTCAGTGTAAAGGAAAGACAAATCCAACAGTGAGCTGAGTAATACCCATAAGTCTTATGCTGTTATTCCACATTTAGGAGTTTAACAGCAGTGTAAATTATTAAAGTATATCTATCTATCTAAAATTTAATTTCCTGGACCAACACAAGAAATCCCAAACGTGGAAAGCACAGTTTAGGGCATTTAGGGCAGTGTTTCTTCAATATTTCTATGCCAGGTACAAATAAGTAAAGCCTGCGAAATTAAGAGCTTATTTTAAAGAGCAGCAGATACAATGATCCTATTATGCATAAGATAAACTATTAAAATATTAAGAATGCAGAGAGATGTATATTAGATATGGAATTAAACACAGTTAGATTAGATTAGTTAATTGTTGAGATGAATAACAGTCCCTCCTCCAAGTCATATTATAGCTGTTATCAGTACCAGCCTTTGGCGCCAGCAGCTTCTCATTATCACTCACCACACCCGATCAAGCCATGCAGAGAAGAACTCAGCAAAGGAAGTTTGACAAACGCTGCAGGCAGGGCCGCTAACCACTTGACACACACAGTGTGGTGTGGAGAGAGAGAGCAAGTGAGACGCACAGATTACAGCAAAGTTATGGCTTTCCCTGTAATCTCCTGCAGACAGTGTGTGTGTGTCTTTTGATGGCACTTGCTGGGTGAAACTAGGCCAAGTGTTAAGTAAGGACAGGTTGGTTCTACATGTTTACATCTCATACTTTCTATGCCAGCCACCGCTTCCTTTTGTCTTCACAACTCTCACCACCTCTGTATCATCGAGGTGTTGTCACACTGAGAAGCTGCAATAAGGCAATGAATCTCTCTGACAGAGTCAGTAAACATACAAAGCGTACAATCTAAAAGCACACATTTTTATCAACTGTGTTTTAGATGAAGGGTCTGCAGGAATGTTATGACATCAGTATGACGGTACCTGCCAGAAAAGAAACAAATTCACTTTGAGAAAAACATTTTGTGTTTAAACTCCCAACTGCAAGATAGCAGTGTTGTAAATGTAACCTGAAGGATATGATGTTGGATGTTACACTGACTTTGATGTATACAAATGCATCCCACAGTTTTCCTTTTAATCGCAATATATTGAATTGTAACCCATGTAGGCTACCGTGATATGTATTGTATCGGCAGATTCTTGCCAGTACACATGAACGGCAGTTATATCAGCAATCCCATGTCAGAATTAGCTAGGCTGCATTATGCACAAACCCTCAGACTAGAGACTCTCTTCTGCATTAATAATGTTTTGTTGTGAAAAGATATTTTGGACCATGGATGTCCACATTCTGCTTTTTAAGGAATTAATTGTATGGCTTAATGTTATTCTGTACTTCCCAAAAAAAAAATAAGCTTGGACGGTGATAAATAGCAAATATAGACCATCCTTCTTTTTAGTAAGATAAGGACTGAACATATGTGTTTTTTTATGTGTGTTAGCTGTAGGATGGTCAAACCTGCTGTCCCTCACTGCCAACGCCTTCAAGCTCACTGCTATCACTATTAGCAGGAAAAGACCTGAACCACTCGATCAGGTTCCCATTAGACAGTAAAATGTACCAGTGTCCATATTGCCCGAGTTATACAGCTAAAACATTGATGCCAGCCATCATTTTACATTATAACACATCTCCAGCATTGAGCATGTTTTCCTATAATAAGCCTGACAGGACAACATATGGAAACATTTACACACATAAACACTGTCATTGACATAATGCATTCTCTAGCCCCTTACCCTAACCTTAACCTTGTTCTAACCCTTAAACCTAAAACCAAGTCTTAACCCTCAAACATGTCTACAAAGTCAAATATTTATAAATGGGAGGCTGTGATGATCTACCAGTCTTCTCCTTTATAAGCAGTAAAGCCTCAACAATGAGATCAGGTTAAGCCCCTGTTATGTTTTATGAGAGAATAGCTACAGTTCAACATGTTCAAACGCACTGAACATGGACCCAGTGGCCCGCCCTCTCGCGGTGTGAGACCCGCTCCCGGCGGCGGAGGGCGCAAGTGGCTACAGCTCGGCCTCCCGGTAAAAAAGCTCCGTGTATTACCTTATTTGGTGTGGAGCCCCTAATTGTAACACCGGAGAGATGCTTCAGTCCGCTGCTGCAGCGCACGCGGAAGAGCGTGCTCGTGCGCGTAACAAACTTAACTTAGGACTGAAGTGAGATGGATGGATGAGCTCCAGCGCCACACACCCAGGTCTACATCATCTGCTCACCCCCGCGGTGTCAGACCGCCACACAGCCATAAACCGAGTGAACCTGCGTCAAAACCTAAAAAGTTAGCGGTGCGTGAGGCGTGGCGCACCCGGTGAGAGCAGCGGACCCTCCGGTACTATCACTCCCAGCACCGCCGGTCCCCGCACCGCGCTCCCTCCGGGCTCAGCCTAACTGTCACACATTATCACACATGACAGAAAACTTCATGACACCCATCCACAGGGTGCAACCAATCACACCGACTCGACTCACAGTAAGATTTTAAAAAGTAAATCCGCCACCAGCATCACACTCACTCCCACTAACAGACTTACGTGTGCTGTAGCTGGTGGTCTGCTCTGTGCGTGCGTCCGCCGTCTCTCCGCTCCGCTCAGTCAGTGCGCAGCAGCAGCAGCCTGCTCTTACTTCAGTGTGTTGTGTGTGTGTGTGTGTGCTGAACCGAGGTACCGGACCTCCCTCCCCACGCGCAGTCCTGGTGGGGGGAAATGGGTGTATTAGTTGTACTGGTGGAGTAAAGGAAAGAAAGAGATGGTCCCTCGCTCTTTTGTTCTTTTCTGCCTCTCTCTCTCTCTTTTCAGCTCATCCAGAATAATTGTCTTTAAAAGAATGTGCTCTTCACAACTAAGGTAACATCAGTCCGACTTTTATGTCAGGGGTAATAAAGGATC